AAAAAAAAAAAAAAAAAAAAAAAAAAAAAAAAAAAAAAAAAAAACTGCACTATCTGGATTTGGAACCCATCTCTGTCCCCAACTAGTGTTACCTCAGGCACTAAATGAGTCACTCAGCATATCAGTTTCTCCTGTGAAAAATAACAGCGCTCATCTCACAACGTTATGGTGAGGATTAGGATCGCTGTGAAGGACTCAGACAACTGCCTGCTGCACTGCCTGGCCGTTCTATGTAAAATTCCATGCCCTCACGTGGGTTTCCTTCCCCTCTTCTGCTTCACTGTGCTCCTTTAACCGTAAGATAATACATGATACTCATTCCTCTTTTTTGGCTTCCCGCTAGGCTATCAGTTCCACGTGCATGGCTGGTCCACTGTGATCACCCTGGCGTCTACAACAGAATCTGCAAACACTTAGCAGTCAAATATTTTTAAAAACTGAAAATGATTTATTATTATGAGACAAGCAACAAAGTTTCAAATGAACCTCTGCTACCTAGAGAGCAGTACTTTGGAGGGCGGGAATATATAACTGTCCTTGGCATAGAAGTTTGGTAAGCTTTCCAAATGAGTCTGGAAGTTTAGCACCGGGATTCTTCCCAGCCCAATACTTACTCTCTTTGGGTACAATCTGCAGTCCCTAAAGTGGTTTAGTTTGACCCATATAGTGCTTTAAAACTTGTGTTTACATCAATTAAATGTCAGAAGATTTCATATGAAAATCTCAGTCCATGGGTTCTGTAAAATGTCCATACATCTGACCACCCTGGGCTCTGCACTGCTGTTGGATCACAGTTGGCTGACGGTGACTCATGCTGGTTGGTGGTCTATCAGCCAAGGCACACTATTGGAGACTGCCTCACCAGCTTCATTCATTTAGGTACATGTCTTATCTCTTTGATCTGATGTTTTGCATCCCCTTCTCAGAATGCCGCCATCACTCCTTGAGGGTATGACATTGTGTCTCTAAAACTAATTCCACACTGTACCCATCCCAGGGAACCTCCCCTACATTTCCTGTCCCCTACCAGCAGTACTATTCTACACTGGCTGGACTACGAAATGGCCTTAAGACTATCCACATCCAGTTATATTGATAGCTGTCTCCAAACCAGCCAGTCCCAATGTACTTAATCCCAAGGGAAGAGCACAGATGACTGTGAGCTTTGGTTCTGACCCCTTGTCTCTCTCTGGCTACACTTCAGAGCTACCTGGGTAGTGTTTAAATGATGGATTCTCGAGTCCCACCACAAATCAATAAACCTGGGGATGGGGCTGGTGTATTTTAAAGGCTCCTAAAAGTACAATGATGGTTGTGAATCACTGGGTCAGAGAAATTTCAAGAGGGAGAGGTCACTGTAGGATTGAGGATCAGGAAAGTTCATGAGAAACAGGTAGTCACTGTTGAATCTAGGTGGTGGGTACGTCAGTGTTCAATGTAGAAGTCTTCCTGTTTTTTCTGTATGTCTGAAACTGTTCGTAAGTAAACACTGGAGAGAAAAAGACTATTCAGGCACTTGCCTAGTCCCTGTTGTGATCTGCTTTCACAACCCCTTCTCAGAACATACACACACACAACCCTCGAAAATCTCAAATGAAGGAGCTACATTAGAGGGCAATTAATGTTACTTTAACACATTTTACACAACTAGTTATTCCTCCAGCCCTGGAACAATTCATGGTTTGTCTGAGAACCATGCAATGGAGGGCGCATTGTAAACACTGTGGGGCTGACCCTCATGATCCACTCCAACTCGATCCCACTGAGTAGCAACACAACTAGCAGCTTGGGGGAGTAACTGGTGTAACAGTAATTCACCTGCTTGCCAGCTGAAAAATGAATGATAACCAACAAGCCACAAGAAGCCTGCTGTGGGATTCTAGCAAAAGACTTCTTCATTTGTAAGATGGAGTCACAGGAGGTCAGCACTTCCTGATGCTCAGAAACATGGGCCCAGATTACCCAAAAGAGGCAGCAGGGCTTAGTGCACTGGCTCAGTATGTGGTCCCTGAACCTGCAGCACCAGCTTTCCCTGGGAACTTGTTAGAAATAAAAATTCTCAGTCCCCATCCTAGGGCTACTGAATCAGAAATTCGGTTGGGGTGAGCCCAGCAATCTTTTTGTTTGTTTGTTTGTTTTTTTATATGGAGTTTTGCTCTTGTTGCCCAGGCTGGAGTACAATGGCATGATCTCAGCTCACTGCAACCTCTGCCTCCCGGGTTCAGGCGATTCTCCTGCCTCAGTCTCCCGAGTAGCTGGGATTACAGACACATGCCACCATACCCAGCTAATTTTTGTAGTTTTAGTAGAGTCGGGGTTTCACTATGATGACCAGGCTGGTCTGGAACTCCTGATCTCATGATCCACCCACCTTGACCTCCCAAAGTGCTGGGATTACAGGCGTGAGCCACCACGCCTGGCCTAAGTTGCTAAAGTTCTTTAGGCCACTAAATTGGTACACAGAAGTGAAGTGCTGCCATAACAAAATACCTAAAACACAGTATTAGCTTTGGGAGCAGGACCTGTGCAGAGGCTTGGAAAGCATCCAAGAAAACTATTAGCACAGGCTAGAAAAGCAGTAAACAAACTGCTAGTGGGGACTAGAAAAATAGTGAGAAAACTGCTCGGGCAGCTTGAATTAGGCAACTCGTGTTATATATTAGCAAAGCTATTGCCTGCATAAACTTGGAAAGCAGAAAATATACCTGATGAATTTTTGGATCTAGCTAAAGAGATCTCCAGAAAGCCTGTTAAAAGTTTCAGCTGG